TGAGTCTCTTTTTTGCCTCATTACGAGGCTCCACTTCAGGGCTGTTCTCTCTGCATAGTTTCTGTCAACCTTTGTTGTAAATGCTTTATTGTCTTACAGCGGTGATTCGAAATTACGGTAACTTGCTCGCGGAGTTTGCCGCCATCGTTCCAGATGGTATTGTCGCCTTTTTCCCCAGCTATCACTACCTAGTGAGTGCGCCTTCTAAGAGCATTTCGTGGCTTTCTTATTTCTAAAATACAATGTTATAATATCTGTCCTAAGGCACGAGCAGCAATTTTGAATTTAAAAAATGGAGGAAAAGCCTATCTTTCATAGTTTTCTTTTAATCTGTAAATTTTGATATTAGTTTGTTGCCTATGTGCAGTTACTTATTGCGCAGACATGCTTTTCTATTGGTTGTATTTGTCATTTTAATTATCGCGCGCAAATTTTGGTTATTTAAGTAAGTATTTTCTGCTTTTATATGCTTAACTTTTTAGTTTATTCTTTCATTCCTGTAATATGACCCAGCCATAAAACCCCTATTAACGCCATTCCCGTAAGAAAAATTTATGGGGCTAGCAATATCTAAGTACCTCGGCATACGAGAATGTTGCCAAACATAATTTCGTCTATGGCAAGGGTATTACAAAAAGTCCACACTTATTAAGTGGACGCCCTCTTCCTTTAAGGATAAAATCGGAAGAAGGCGTAATTTGTTACCAAGCAATAAAAATTTTGCTTGTGCATGTTTTCCAAAATATATATCTTAATTTATAAGGATATCGAAAATCAACGAGAAAAAGGTATACTACATGCCTAGCGATTTTTTACAGAGTATGCAGAGAACAGGCTTTTTTGCAGACTATCAGAAAGAACCTTGTTCAAAACCTGGCATCCTAGAGTAAATGGAATTAGGCTACACGAAAGTAAATATTGCAAATATCATGAAATTCAGCACGCCGATGTTTTATTTGTGTCTTATTTGCTACTAACTGTGGGTTATTAACCAGACTGATCAGACGCACAGGTCGTTTGTTCCCGCTTATCCGTCCACTGATGTCCTAATTCGAATCGAAAACACGTTTCATAATTTCGGTATTTGTAAAGGCCACCCTGGGAAGGGCTGCTGGGCTCCCAAAGTCACGTCGGAGGCGCAAGTTCTCAACTATCACAGTCAAGTTTGCCGTCCAGTCGCTATTCTCGTTTTCTCAACGCGAGCCTACTCTATTATGAGCCCTTCCGTTGTGATCAACAGTCATATTTAATAGTAATTGACACCGTCTACTACCGGTTTGACAGTAGTCGTTTATGTTAAATGATTTGCACGCTCCGTCTATTCAGTCCACACCGACATTACTCACTGTGTGGGGCTCTTAGTGCACGTTTGATTACTATTGGCAACTAGAGATTGGGCCAATACCTTGCAAGTCTCAACCCAGTGACAAACAATAAAATTCCTGTATAGACCTTGCCTTTAGCTCCTTTCACTGCCAGATTTCGAGAAAATGTTGTCTTCTTTCTTTCGTCATCGCCCCACTTTCTGCGACTATTTTCTGAGCTCGCAATCTGTTTTCTATTTTTGTTTCTGCCAGGAATCTACCTTCGCCACGTGGTACGAACAGGTAAGCTTTCTTTTCCCTTGCATCCGTTCTGTCTCAGGGTTTCACCTTAATTCCCTAATAAAACTGAACTGCGCTCTAACAGAACCACTGTACGCGTTTCAAATTTGGGACGGTAACCGGACTGACGTTTCTCCTAATTCGTTGAATTTTAAAATCGCTTGGCTGGGCGACTGCGTATTCGGGTACTGAGAAGAGGCAGGTGTAACCTGTGAGACATGAATTTGATTTGCCTGACGTTTCCAACTCCGTCGTGGATCCATTCTCAAAGACAATAGTAGAAATGGGTAGTTCATACACAGGGCCTTGCAGTATTTGTTATAACCTTGGGGTGTGGCTGCATCGACACTGGTTATATCCTCCATTTGAGTGTTACGAAAAGAAGGCAGACAGGATAGTTGACTGTCACTGCTTCTGTTTGTACATCAGCTCTTTGCCTCAATTCGTGAGCTCTGTCTTCTTTGTGACCGGCAGCTTGTCCTGTGTCCGTCAGCAGCGCGTG